CACTTCTATAAATCGAAAGGAGACTGCGACCCTAACAGAGGCCACAACATCTTGGTCTTCATATCTTCAACTAAGAACTTTTAATTTATGTTGTTGGATGGTTATTCCTGACATGCAGAGCCTTATATACTTGTGCCCATAAGCAATCGGATTTACGATAGTGACCAAAGCTAAATCAAGTGTTATCAAGGCTATAACTAGTTTCTGGAAGTAAGTCTCTTTAGAGTCCGCTGAATAGTTTAATCAAAAATGGTGGGAAATAATGCAACCTACTTAGAGATTTAGGCACGTAGTTCGGTCCTTTTCCAATAACTGTCCTTGCTTTCAATGTACCCCGCTTGGCCACCGCTGTTGTAGTCGATTTTTCCGGTATCTTAGAGCGAGAGGCATTGGTTGTCAGGTGCCACACAAGCTCGGCTCGATGAAATATCCGCTTTTGGGCCGATCCAAATTTAAGTGAAGAAACAGGATCTCCTTTAGAAGGGGATAATTCAGCTTCTGTAGAAGGTAGTTGCTGTTCGCCGAGTTCTGAAGCCGCTGATGGTTTTGTTACTGACGGAGGTAGCGGAGGCGAGAGCAATTCAGCAGATTGATTGCCAATCGGCATCCCTGTGTCATCCACTGACGGGCTGGACTTTCTTTCTGAGAGAGCCGTAGAACTCGGAGTTTTGGGGCTGTGATTCGAATCTTCCAAGACTTGTCTAATCACGGCCAGATGAGCTGTCAAATGGTGATCATTTTAATATCAGACTATTATACAAGTAGTTCTTGCATGGAATAAAAATAACCTTATATTCTTATCAATTTAGTCATCACTTATAGGGGAATTTTTGATATTTAAAGGGAAGGCAACTAGGTGGTGTGGCAGGAATAGAAAATAGATTCCATCTCAGCAGCAAAAATTTCCAAGTCTTTAATGACGAGAGAAATTATGAATCTGAAGCACTTTTAATGCCGCTCATTCAAATATTTTAAAGGTCTGCTCAAACCAATAATTTTGAGCAAATTTTGCCATATTCTATTGTTTATTCAAGTTTTTA